CCACTTCAGTGTGCATTTTTGTCCTATTAGCATACACATAATGCCGAAATGCAGATTATTCAATTTTGCCCGCAACAGAGACAAGCGTGAAATAATCTCTCAGGCACATCGAGTCCAAGGAATCCGACGTAATGTAGGACCGCTGCTGTTCAATTTTTCTGCGCATGGCAGTCACTCATTTGAGGATTAAAGTCTCTATAGGCATATTACAGGGACATTCTTATCACTACAATCACCATGCACAGATAGACGAAGTGTTCAAAGATTTTCTGGTTCCTAATATCGTGCTGATTCAATCAGAATGACCAAGTCTGATTAGCAATCATCAAATTCCCCTGTATGTCTCAATACCGACAGAGTGAATGGTTCGGTGCTTGCGTCGATGAAAGTGAGTGCAGCAAGGACGGGACCGTGGTGATAGAGGGAGGGGTGGGGGAAGGACAGACCGCGGGGGAACAGTTAGTAGAAAATAAGCCGAGACGGGAGGATGCATGCCCTAAAGAAATACCTCCAACCAAAATAGAAGGGCTCGTCGGAGAATCTGGACTTGGATGGCTCGAGGAATGGAGAGGTCTTCAAGGGGGACCTGGAGTGTTTTTGCGGGTTAAGCAATTCTTAATGTCGTTGAGGCCGATTTGCTCCTCGTCAGAATGAATATTGTCGCTGCGAATGCCAACCAGGACGGAATGCATCCGCATACCGTATACTTCGATTCTAACTTATCCTCTGCTCTATATTGTGTTGTATCCTGTGTACAAATCGCTATGTATAACGTAATCCACGGCCGAGCTGGCCACACACCCCCATTGCAAAATTTTAGAACAGAATATCGTGACCAAAACGCATCAATTTATCCTAAACTAGCGATTTCTACATTGATTAATCCTATGCCCAGTTACTCTACATCCACTGCAGGTAGGAGGAGCCCTCCTGGCCAGTTGAATCGGCTGATTAGGCAGATCGACTTCTTCATGCGATACTACCTCATCAGCTTCTACTGGCTGAATTGGCTGCTGAGCTAGCTGTAGGCCCTCTTCAATCGATAGACCCCCTTCGTGTGAAATCTGCCTAGTCTATCGAGTGCGCTTTTGACGTTTCTTTTTCATTCGCTGCGCGTAGATCGGCGTTCTCCTTCACTAGTAGTGCAGTGTTATGCAGCGCAATTTCATGGCCCTTAAGAATCTGATCAACCACTAATTTCAACGGGCTTGGTGGGCTTTTCAACTGACCTAATCAGCGTCGGGGTAAAAAGAATGAACGTCAGATGAACTTAGCCCGACGAGCAACAGCCAGCAATTGAACACAAAAGCTATCACAGTAATCAGGCAACTGATCGAGGCTATGCCAGAGAGAAACCATGCCAGACGCTTGACTTTCGACCGCAGCTGGAGACCAGGGATTGTGTATCGTACTAGCCACCAGTGGAACAAAGCGATACCCATATAGTCGAGCGAGATCACCAAAATGAACAGACGCCTGGTTGGTGAGCACATGAGGGCCCCAACAAAGCAGGAAGCTAACTTTGTTGCTGTTGAAGTACCAGCAAACATGAAACTGAATATCTTCAGTTGGTGAGGTTGGAAGGTGGGATGTCGTAGATGGGCATAGACTTGAACAAACTGGAACCAGATCAGACCCCTCACCAAACTTTCTTTTGTTCTTGTGGTGGAGAATACAATACCCCTTGTATGGACACAAAGACGCCAACTGCAGCAAGGAGGATTGCTGCAGCAAGGAGGATTGCTGCAGCAGGTGCTTTAACCTCTAGCAATATAAGAATTGATCGGGCAGCTAGTAGTAGGCATACCGAAATGGATAATAAGAAGTTAATTCTCGCAATAAGATCAGCTGAGCGAAGAGTAGGGCAGAGAAAGATACAGTGGAGAAGATGTAAGAGTAACGACAGGATCGTCAAAATTACTCCAAGCGACTTCAAGTAAAACATACTTAGAGTGCAAAATCCCCTACAGTAGTGCTTGCGGTATCTAAACATGTTGCGGATGGAGTACAAGTCAAATAAATGGGCTCCGCTGCTATATTCCGATAATCCGAAATAACGCCCCAAAAGCTCCTAGGAACCTAATTAAGCTTTTCTTGGTTCCCGGGAACAAGTTGATCGTCTGTTACTGCACGCATTCAATAGTTGGTAGGATCGGCCGCAGCTTTGTCACGGAGCCACCTACGTCTTGGCCCTTCCTTAAATACCATATATTCCAGTATTTCATTACAGGGACCTACAGAGACTCATAGATGACTTGGGAGTTGTTGCACCATATCACCAAATCAAGACGCACGCATTCACAGTAAGCGTGATATTTAACGGCATAGTCCATTATGTTGAACGGACCCCGAGCAGGCACAAGGTGTGGAAGGAAAATATGCCCCGATTTATTCAGCGTTACTATCCGCAGACTATGACTAGTAGATAAGTTGCTTGCCTAGATACATAGAAAAGGATATTTGCACCGATAGAAGACGACAATACTTAGTTACGACTAAAGTTCCCAAGGTGAACTTTGGCTATCCTTTTATGTAACCATATCCGAAGAGCACATCCTCTAAGTTGCTTCTTCACATACAATACAGTAAATTCGTTTCAAGATCTACATGGTTACTTTTATTCCCTACAACCTTGGTACAGTATCTTTGGACATTATAAGTACGATGTTCTCTGTCCGTTGCGCATGTTGATGTTCTATCACTTCATCTAGTCCGTTGATAGGCCAGTTACCGTTTGCAGAACACCCTATCCATCATGAGGGTTTTCCATTGGTTTCTGCTGATGAAGTCCTGGCTTGCTATTGCCACGCGATCGATAGGGGCTGTGGCTATTGCAAGAGAGATAAGTGGGTGGAGTGCATCGCTAGTGAGAAATCTAAGGGAACATCAGAATGCTCATCTCGATAGTAGATGATATTCCATCTAGGCCACAACAAGCCGGGGAAGTGTGACAGAACACGCGACACGTATATAGTGATAGTAGATCTACCCGACAACCGGCTAATTGTTACGGGCCAGAAGGAAAGTTCGAAAACTACCTGTGCATTTAACGAAGGTAACAAGACTGAGGGAAGAAGGAAGGAGAGATCTATCTGGTAGGGGAAGTTGTTGATAAACCCACTCATCCCAATCCGGCTATGTTTGCTCCCATCGCCAGTCCTGAGATCAAAACAAGCAAACTCATCGACCATCTTCCTAATCCTACCGCCTTCGATCGTCCCATTTGTAACACTAATCAGGATAGAGAACTCGGGAAGGGTGACAGGAAAAAAGACGGGAAAAGCAAAGCGTAAGTGAAGTTACGATAGAACGCGCGACATGTACTGCCACGTAGGAGATCAGTCAATGCTGCACAGAAATGTCGAAGAAATGCACTTCTGACGGAGTATCTCCTTGGTTGTAGTTTCCGGCCTTAAAATAACTCGAGGGTGAGTTTAAATTGCCCAAACTCACTTCCTTCAAAGCACCACCATTGATACTGAGGGATAGGGTGCTATTTTCATATCGAATTTCGTAGCTGAACGTCTTGCCCACAGGAATATTTCCAATTGAGGTGTAGTATTCAGTGCCGCCTGATTGTGATTTATGCACCCCGATTGAGATGTCACCGTTAGATTTATAGTAGAGTTTTGCCACTGGAAAGCTTGATACGCTTGCATCCATGTGGATCTGGCCAACGACTGTGCCGTGGTTGCTATTATCAGGCTTGGGCACAGAGACTGTAGCACTCAGTCGGTTTTTTGCGGCTCTTGGGTCCCAGCTGGACGGACTCTGCTCTCGAAGCTCTGTCCGACAGAATTTGGTGTTTGGGGTTGTTACGCATCCAGAGGAAGATGGTGCACCAGGGACCTTCAAGACCAAAGCACCATCTCCACTCTCCGTGAAGAAGTAATCATGTCCGGGATCTTGGTATCCAGAGCAACCTTCGAGGGCTGAGCTGGAAATCGTTGTTGGGCTGCCCGGATTCCCAATAGGCAACTGGAGTTCCCAGCTGGAAAAGTCGAAATTTCCACCGGGAGCGCATTGAGGGTTGAGAGCCCGAGCCTCGAGAGTACTAACTGTGTAGCCTGGAATTGCAGAAGCCAGTGAGAACATAAGAGCGAAAGGTATAAGACGCATTGTGCCGTAATTCTTTTGTGGATGCAATGAAGAGGCAGTCAACTGAATTAGAAAAGATTTATAGCAGTGAGGATGATGTTGATGCTACTTATATATCTGCTGCTTCTATCTACAGATGTTTGAAGAATGATGTACCTGCTATAACTATAACAAGAAAACTTAGTGGGATTCGCGGGATAAAATTCCTGTTGGCCAATGTAACGCTCAGTTTCAAGGGCAATTTTTCCTTGAATCTTGACCGACCACTTGCCTCACAGGTTAGTTCAGTCGCGGGGGGCCCTGCGGAGCTATTACCAATACGAGTTAGAGGGATAGAGGTTCATAAAAAGGGGTTTGATGTAATTATTAATAGAAGGCGAAATAAGCCTTACTGGGGCTGATCTACCTAAGTTTTTCGTCCTTCTTTTAATCTGCATGATTGGTGGATTATTCCAAGTTACACGAATAACATTCTCCATCCAGGATAGGCTGCATCATGGCCCGCACCTACCCATAACCCGCCCCGCCCCATACCTACGGTGAGTATACGGTGGCGCTTTTCCAAATTAGGTAGTTGCTGAAGTGGGGCGTCTTGCGATCTCTGATAAATCCATTGCTAGCTAATTTAGTTAGTTGCTCTCCAACTAACCGTCCTAATACAGTAGCGGAGTCGACCCTGAGACTGTGCAACCCTCGCTTCATGTGGTGCTTGATTGGTGGAACATTTCCATGCTGACAAAACAACTTTTCCGTAATTGGGACTGGGTAAAATCCGGGGAAGTGGCTTGAGCTCGATCTATAAAGTGGGCACAGAGTACTGGTGACATCCGTTATAACTAGAAAAAATTAGACATGGTTCCTAATCTCATTTAACGTGTCCTGCATGACCTAATATTTTCGCTATGCGCGTCCTATACATATCTTTTCTACTCTTGACGGCCAACATTGTGGCCGCCTTGCCCGATCCTGAACACTCCAATTCCCGGAAGGCTCCGGGCACTGTTGTCATTGACGGCTATCGCCTCGTGGATGCAGAGGTGCGTCTCAATAGAGGCGATCGTAGTCTCAAATCTTCCTTAGATAGTCTCGTTGCCCACGCCGATAGTTGGCTTAATCAAGGCCCCTGGACGGTAACTTCAAAGACCAAGGCACCTCCTAATGGCACGATCCACGACTATGCCTCCCAAGCGCCATACTGGTGGCCTAATTCCAATACTCCAGATAGTTGCCCCTACATTCAAAAGGACGGTATGCGCAACCCGGAAGTTGACAACTACCCAGACAAGATCAACTCTATTAAATTGTTCAATTCAATATATACCCTCTCCCTAGCGTGATACTACACCGGCAACCCAACATATTCTTATTATACAGCAGAAATCATCCGTACTTAGTTCCTCGACCCAAAGACGGCCATGAACCCTAACCTCGATCATGCGCAGATAATTCCCTGCGCCAACACTGGCCGATCGATTAGCATCGTCGACTTCTCCCAGGACTATACTAAGGTCATCGACGCTATCGCTATCCTAAACACCGGTGCCCCCGGATAGACTAAGACAGACGCAGCAGCATTTCAAGAATAGAACAAACAATTCCTTCTATGGCTTACCTATTCGCCATTCGGAGTCGAAGAATCGAGTGCAACGAACAATCATGGCACTTTTGCAAATATGCAAATCACCGCCCTTGCCCTCTTCACCGGCAACCATTCTCTTGCACTCAGTAAGGTGAAACTCGCAAAGGACTTTATCAATAACCAAGTGACATCTAATGGCTCCCAACCCCAAGAGCTTGCTCGTACGCGGAGTTTCCACTACTCCAACTTCGATCTCACCGCACACCTACGCTGGGCATTAATCGCACGGAAACTGGGAGTCGACTTGTTCAAATTCAAAGGCCCACAGGGTCAGACGCTGTTCAAGGCGGTGAACTTCCTGGTGCCGGCGGCGACCGGGGGCGCGGGTGATTGGGAGTATCCGGAGCTGCAGTTTACACAGTATGCAGCAACGGATAATATCCATGCAGCGGCGCAGGAGGGCGATCTTACGGCAGAGGTGGCGGTCAAGAAGTTGTTGCCCCCTCCTGGCGGTGATATCTTTGTGTTGAGGCCGGCGCCGCAGCAGTTGGACAATATCAATACCACTTGAGGGGAGGGGAGTTATGGGTAGATCTCGGAAAGACTCTGGACCCATGAGGGGAGGGTCAGGGTCGACTCCTTTGTAAGGGATTCTTAACGGTTCTTCACAGCCCCTTGCCCTTTCAGAAAGCAGTGTCCATCCCGTGGCTGAGAATGTCGGAGGATATCCCTTCGGAACCCCGCAGATGACTTATCAAATCTACACTGAGCCATAAAACTGGGAAGCCTGTTTCCCTTTCTCCTGAATCCGTAATATTCAGTTCATGTGTATTCTGGACATACTGCTCTGAACCAAGTCTGCCTTCCTCTACCCTTATTCCTTACCTAATCAATAGTTTTCTACGCTGAACGGTAGATACTTAAGCTACGGGCAAGTCTGACCAAGATATCCCGCGGCCTCTTCCAAGCGGGATGCACATTCTGACGATGACCCTCGACGAACTCGTTAAGGTATAGCGGCGAGGCGTATGCAGTGGCTCATCAGGCTCCTGGCACCAGTAGGATTCAATACGTGGACTCCGGTGGATACCCATATAGATTAGAATACCAAGGAAATATCTTGATATCCACTACTGTAGTATCCTTCCAGTGCCGGCCAGGGCTAGATTTGCTAGTATCAGATGCTTGTTTCCTCTGAGCGTATTCATTCGTTGACTGGCTAATGTATTGAATAGTATCCTCGCTAATGAATAGTGTAAACAGCGCATAGGGGCTATCGATATTAAGGCTACTAGGTAGATGGAGCGGTGGAGGTCGAGAGGATGGCTGTAGTAGCTGAATTCGCGCGTCTAGTGCTTCGCGAGAGGGTAGTTCCGCGAGGATCTCGTCAAGTTTGCGCTTCGGGGCCATATCGTATTGGTAGGCAGGTAGGTAGGCAGGTAGGCAGGCAGGTAGGTAGGTTAGTAGAATAGAGAGACGCGCTCAACAACGCGTTGATAGCTTCAAATGAGCTAGTGGGGCCTAGTGTAGTAGCCGATTATCCAATTATATAGTGGTGGATCCTGCATCACGCGTGGATTGGCTGATATTATACACTAACGATACAACTTGGTTTTGAGACTCCCGGGACAGCCCAGGGGATAGTGACGGTGCGAACCTACAATCCGTTCTTGGAAAGTTGTTAGGTGGCTTCAAATTCCCAAGATACGTGGCTGTCTAAGCAAGCTAAAACGGTATGACGTGGTATGCGTATATGGTTCCCGTCTACCAAGGGGAACCAATTAAATTGGCAGAAGGTCGATACACAGCGGGCATTCTATTCCAACCATTGCTACACTTTACAATTATACAATACGGCTGTGAGACCTCAAAGAATGTATTTAACACGAAACTGCTATACACTTGCTACCTCCGTCCCTCCACTGTAAAGGCTCACCACCCACTATCATGGCTTTTCCATCGTCGACTAGACTTCAGCAGAATATGCTTCCTCAACTCCCCATAATGATCTGTATGAGGCCTATCTCTTGCCTTTACATATATTGACATGTTCAGAGACCGGTGACGCCCACCTTGAGATAGTTGGCATCTCCATCAATTCGCTCTCTAATCTTGCCCGAAGATATCTCATCAACATCCCATGCTGCCCAAGTGAAGCGTCCATGCAGAAATTTCGCCTCGTCCGATGTGGCCCACACGGCATAGTGACCGGGAAGGTCCTCTACAACAGAACATTGTTAACAGCGAAAAAGGCAACGACCACCACCGCCCAGGATCATAAAGTGCCTTGCTATCTCTGGGGTGTGAAGTCTGTTGTTTCTAATATCATCAACCCTTTAATGGTCGTCCCGAGGAAGATCATCTCCGTCGCAATGGTTGTAATCTACGCGAGAGTGTTCAGCCATACGATTAGGTAACTTGCGAGCTTCTTCTAGCGTAACGGCGCTAATTGGTAGACCCAATAGTACTGCCCTTCGGCAATGGGTGCCATCGACGCCAATTCCGAAATGACCGTGAATACTGACAAGGTTGAGAGAGGGCGACGAGGTAGCTATAGAACGATCCCGCTGGGCCGCCGTTGATAAACGGCTCGGAGAATAGCACAAGAACCGTTTCCCACGTAATGAGCTCAGCGATGGTAAACCCGAATATCGAGAAAAATCCAAACCGCCGTTTGAGAACCTGTTTTTTCCCTAGCCGAGCCAGGGTTTGCTGGTCGGCTAGCTGTAGCCGACGTTTTAGGCCACGGTTGGCGTTATCCTGTTTACACGCCAGGCACCTGGAGGAAGAAGTGATGAGGATGAGGTAGTAATTGAGCTTTGAAGCTCTTTTACTGCGAAAAGGTGATTAGAAATATATACCTCAATGGTGTACAAGATTTAATTCTAAATCATGTCCAGCATAAGGCTAAACGGGAGTACCTAAATTGGAATAAGCCGCTAGTGGATGCTTTTCCTTCGCTCTCTCTTTCCGTTTGTTTTTTATCGGTGTCGTATTAAATATCTCTAAGTGGTTAGCTCCTAATTCCAAAACAAACCTCAAAAACTATGGTTATGAGAGTACATAAATCGCTACCCTTCAGGAAAGGCTATCCTGTCCCCCCTGTACCCCTGCTTAGGGTGAGAAATGATCCGAGGCAAATTCGAGACTAAGGTACCTCAGTAGCTATCCCAGGCTTGGGCGGTCTGGTAAAACTATAGGATTCTGATTATAGGTACGCGATCGCTAGCCGATTATTCGGTATCCTTGGAAAAAACCAGCTATGATAAGTGGTGGATCAGTAGTTATTTCCCCTATCTTTACTCTAAGTCTCGCCTTCAGAAGCAGCATTCCGTTGCCCTTGCAAACGCCGGATGCTATTATTCATTTCACAACAATAATACCATCATGCCTCCGACATATTCCCTATCTATCTGTAATCTCTCCATCACGGCTGCCATTGCGCTCCTTGTTATAAGCGGGATATGTACTTTTGCAAGAGAAGAAAAACTTGTTCGGTCTCCGCGGGACAAGTTATAAACCCTCTCAGAGGAAGAGAAAGCAAATTTGCCGTACCTGCTAGATGCCCTACCTGGGGCAAGGGATGTGAACAGTCTATATGGAACGTTTAGATGTTACGAATGGTGAGTCTTGAATTCTACGATATATATGCTAAAGGGCTTGGACAACTATATGTATATTGCGTCGAGACTTAATCACTATTCCACAAACCACTCAACTTACTCCTCGTCTCTAATTTAGGGGTCCTACTACAGGGCGTTTTGTGCTTTTTGTCTATGGCATCTCGACACCTTCGTTGGCGTTGTACCCATTGGCGAAGAGACTAGTCGATCATCACTCTTGCCGGGTCCTTCTTATTGACCTTTGGGGCCGTGGCTATTCGGATATGCTAACCGACCTGCCGCAGGATGCGCGGCTCTTCACGACACAAATTCTCCTCGCGTTAGCTTCTTCTCCTGTCTCGTGGAATGGCTTAGGAGCGCCCCCGCACGGTTTTGATCTCATGGGCTACTCACTTGGTGGCGGCATCGCCGCAAACTTCGCCGCAAATTTCCCTGGCTTGGTCCGGAGTCTAATATTGTTCACCCCTGCTGGCTTAATTCGAGCCTAGCGCCGCAGCTGGATTATGAGGCTGCTGTACTTATCTGGCCTGGTGCTAAATGCACTCCTAAGATGGCTCGTCAAACGTACTCTAAGACCCGCTAATGCTACTGCTAATGTACGCGAGGTCCAAAACGCCAAGTCAGGAACCCTGGTTATGCTCAACCCCCTAAAGGCAGCTTTTGAGGAGCTACTTAAAACAAGCGGTCAGGATGATGAACCATTGATTGATAGATACCCGCACGTTAATACTACGGCTGCGGTTAATTGGTAACTTACTATGCACCCTGGTTTTGTGCCGTCGTTTATATCTTCCATTCATCACGCACCTAGCGTTGCTCAACAGGAAGTATGGCGTTATATCACTGCTGGACTCCGGAAAACGAAGGTGTTGATCTTTGCTGGTTCGAAAGATCCTTTGATCCTTGCCGATGGATTATATGACGATGCTCTCGCGGCGATTGGGTTAGAGTATTCGACCTTTAAGGTCTTTGATTGTGGCTATGAGCTTCCTATCACGTGTGTTGACCAGGTCAGTGCAAATATTGGCATATTCTGGGCGTTGGATGAGGGAATATAGATATTATATGTTATAGATACCGTACTGGTGAATTTATCAGGGGTATCGATTAAGCATGTCTATACTCGCTCACGCTATGCCCGAAGCAGCACTTTCCCTATAATACTATGTATCTTTCGACCATTTTTTGATGGCCGTCATTTCTCACCGTGCCCTATTTCTTGAGGTACTCGATCCTCTCAAATACCGAATGTTTGAGACCAGAAACCATCTTGCCTTGAACCAGTAGCTGGTGGACTAGAATGTTCTCTTGGACTAACTGGGTTATTCTGGAATAGTGGTTTGTAATTTTATTCTGCCCCTAAAGATAATAACTAAAAGCGACCCTTCAGTCTCTTTTTCGATCCTTTTTCCTTCCTCTAATTGACCACTCCCCTCTTCGGTGTATTCGTATACTTCGTCTAAGTTATAATTTGAATCGTTTATCGTCTTTTTGAAAAGTTCTACATCTCAAAATCTTTCCTGTTATTTTTCCTATCTCTTATCACGGAGATGCCGAGGCGCTAAGCCTGCTACAACCTTGATCTTGATGGTAGCGTTCTCAGAGATCTGTCCCCTTCAATCAATGGTTACATATACCTTGGAAAGCTTCAATTCTTTGACACCCTCTAATCTAAATCCGCTCGCTTCGCAGCCTCGAATGAGACAAGCAAATTCCTCCTCTTTCGTACAAGCAAAGTGATCATCGAGACTATTTCAACCCTCAAGACGAAGACACTAGCTCACCCTCCGTTAGTCTCTAAATTTTGTTCTCTAGATCGGATTCAAAATTGAACCTAGATGTTCGGTTTTGGGTGGTCCTTGTTTATGAGGATGCCAACATATTCTTAACACTCCGGATCATAGGTCTCGGCCAGAAATCCGGCTTGAGTAGTGGGAGAGGCAGAGCAACAGGATCTATCGCTCCCAGGCCACTCGGATTACTAAACAAGGGGATCTGGAGAATGTCACTCATCATCCTTTTATTATCTCGTTTGAAAGCCTATTCCGTCACCAGTCGCCTCGCCAAGGGGAGGAAGATCTAAAGATATCATGTCGCCAGCTGGAGGAAGTCACGGAGACGACTTGGCAAGAGAAGCGCCGCTAAATTTGTTTTGATTTCTTTTATTATTCGATGTTATTATTGATTCAAGATCATAATGAAGGGGGGTTGATCGATACGGATACAAAATTGATTTCGGGGGTTACTTCCGCCTGTTCAAAGACTGACTTAATCCTTCGTAGCTAATGTGACGATATTGTAGGCTTAAATCACATAGACTCGGCCTCTCCCGCATATATACGATAGCTTCTCTCCTTTACTTTCTCTTTAATTTCGATCTCTTCGCTCTTTGACAGAATACCTTGTCTAGGTTACCTTCCCTGAGCCAGTAGTATCGCCGTTATAGCTAGGGTTGATACTACTAAGTAAACTAGCCTACAACTCGGGTAGCGGATAAAGAGTTACAGTTACTACGGCGTATGATAACTACGCATAGGAGCATAGCCTTATTAGCGACAGAGGTAGCTTTGTGGTCAATCGCGCAGGATCTCCTTTTGGTGGTCACTCTCCCCGTGCAAATTACAAATCTCCGAGCAGACTCATCCGATTTTGCTGATATCAGTAGTATCTAAAGCGAGATTATGAAATCCAGGCTATATTCCTATATTCTCAGAAGCGTGTTCAACAAATGTAAATCCGATTTGCTGCTCAAGTACTGAAATCCACTATAACGCGATCGATTGCAGCAAAGTCTACGGAGTACTAAGGCGGAGAGTCACAATTATGTTTTATTACTATTAGTGATATGTGTTTTTCCTCAGGGGCATGCTCAGTTCTACTCAGGGAGGAAAAAGCGGCAAGGGCTGAGGACTAAGCCTATTCAAATCTGCTCGGCTGATTTACCCGGACAAGGAGGCAGAGAGACATTTGATTGGCACCAGTTGCAAGGCCTAAGGCAAAGGGAATTATGTCAAGTGATCCTGTCAATGTCGAGACAGGTTCAATCTGATCATGACCTCAATATCATCCTGGCCAGGAATGAATCATGGATAGATAGAACCAAAATCAATCATGTAAGGCGAATTTCGGTGTTTAGCATACCCTTTCGTACCTTATGTTTCTTCACACCCTCGGCTTGTTCCATTCTCTGGAGCTTCAGCACCCGTGCCCAGTTGGAATGCGAACTGGCCGTTTAGGCTGACCAGGCAGACCAGGATCAAGATCGCGCCAATAGCCCATTAATGTCCCTGTCAATAGCCTCATCCTAAATTGGGCATCCAGCTGCGACATTTTCCTATAACTGTATGGAATGGCCACACACACACTTTTGGAAAAGGTTAATGAAGCATCGTCGTAAGCGTCAGAAAGTCTAATTCACTGTTTTTCTCCAACCCTTACTACTAATTGAAAAGTAGTACACTTCACTTAATCCCTCCCCATTTTCAATAACTACGCTATTCCCTGTCCATATACCTTGTATAGTGTCCCGGCTAGGGGTAATGACCCTTGACAATCTTCCCGTCACGGAAATAGGTTAAGACAGTCTCCACGCGACCTTACGTGATCCGAATGAACGGCCAGGTATAAATTAAAATATACCCTAGGGCTTACCGATATTATGTGATAGGTATCTTTACGTCGATATGCTTGTTGGGTGGAATGTGGTGATGATGGCTCGTGAAATTCACGCGGGATATTTTTATTAACTATACTTTTGTAGGCTTGATTCGAGCCCCTGACTACAAGCATCCATTCTCTGGATAACCCGTTGTTGAAGACGATGGTTCCTAGGGAAAAAAATGGATAATTAAATTAAGCAAAGGACGAAGTTAGATACCGCTCCCTGCAAATAGCTATATGCTAACACGTCCGAGTGCTGTCAGAATGCAGTGCGTGTTGAAAAATTCCGACCCCTTACCTCTGGCAACAAAAAAATTCAGCCACAATTTTCCGTAACAGGGAAAAGATTAAGCAGATCACCCTAGCTCTTTACCTATAGACTAGAAATACCTCCGTAACAAGCTTTTTGGCTTCCTCTACGTAGGGCGCTGGATTGTGTTCGATCACGCTTCTATGTCATTTCTACAGGAGCTACTCAGAGCTCCAGGAATGACAGCATTATGCGAACCGCGCCTGTTTGTAGGGTGTGCATACTGATGAGCCGGTTTGCAGGATAGAAGAATATCGCGAAGGGGCTGATGATGATTGAGACAAGATTTTACACTTCAACTTTTACTCGCGAGTACCCAGGAGTGAGAAATATAAAAGGGGCATCAGACCCAGTTCGAAACCAATATTCATCCAAAATCTTCTCTTTAACTAAATACGCTAGCTTCCGAGTATCTTGCCTCTATATAGCTTCAAAGATGAAGTTCTCGATTGTTCTCTCGACTCTGATGGTCGCCGGCCTTGTAGGTGCTGCTCCTATGGCCGAGCTTGGTATATATCCCGTTTCTTATCTACCTTTGAAGATAGTTGTACTAACGAGGATTTAGTTTCTAATGACATTGGACTCTCCTCACCGCCAACTCATAAGGACCGTGACGGACATTCCCAGAGTGAAGAAATCTCTACCGGACACCAGGCTCGTCCATCATCTAAGTACCACGACATCCACCCCCACAAGGACAACAAGGACCACGATGACAAGGACCACCACAAGCGAGGGGAAGCTGTCGAGACTTTGCCTGAGCACCACCATCGCCATCACAAGGGCGACAAGGACCACGATGACAAGGATCATGACGACAAGGACCACGATGACAAGGACCATGACGACAAGGATCACCACAAGCGAGCGGAAGCTGTCGAGACTTTGCCTGAGCATCACCATCGCCATCACAAGGGCGACAAGGACCACGATGGCAAGGACCACGATGGCAAGGACCACGATGGCAAGGACCACGATGACAAGGATCATGACGACAAGGATCACCACAAGCGAGCGGAAGCTGTCGAGACTTTGCCTGAGCACCACCATCGCCATCACAAGGGCGACAAGGACCACGATGGCAAGGATCATGACGACAAGGATCACGATGACAAGGACCATGACGACAAGGATCACCACAAGCGAGCGGAAGCTGTCGAGACTTTGCCTGAGCATCACCATCGCCATCACAAGGGCGACAAGGACCACGATGGCAAGGACCACGATGGCAAGGACCACGATGGCAAGGACCACGATGGCAAGGATCATGACGACAAGGATCACCACAAGCGAGCGGAAGCTGTCGAGACTTTGCCTGAGCACCACCATCGCCATCACAAGGGCGACAAGGACCACGATGGCAAGGACCACGATGGCAAGGACCACGATGACAAGGACCACGATGACAAGGACCACGATGACAAGGACCACGATGACAAGGACCACGATGACAAGGACCACGATGACAAGGACCACGATGACAAGGACCACGATGACAAGGACTACGATGGCAAGGATCACCGCAAGTAAGAGGAAGCTGTCGAGACTTCGCCTGATCACCACAATGGCCACCGCAAGGGCAGCAAGGATCACGACAATAAGGGTCACTCGCGAGGGTTTAAACGACTACGACTACAAATTTCTTTTGTCTTGCTATGAGGCTCCTGTGGGGTCCATACAGATATTCGACGGGGTAGGAGGCAGCGGTGGTAATGCAAAGTGGGAAAGTTGGCACAGGAATTGTCTGGATTGCTTCTTTTGATTTGAGTATAACGTGTCTTTCATGCGAGCGATCTTTGGGGAATGAATTAAATTTTACGGAATGCCTTTTATTCCTTCTCCAGGTAAGGCTCGGAGCCCCCATTGATCAACGTCATTCGTTTTTCAGTGGAGAGGACGAGCTATAATTGTGAAACTTTTTATAGGGGAGAAAACTTGGAAGTTTTTGCCTACTAGTCTCTTAATGCGAGCGGGACAAGCATCTGCGGAGGCTAGCTTTGGCATAACCAGGACAACCTCAAACGGCTTGTGCTTGACCTCAATATTCGGACCTTGGAACTTGGATAGTTATACTAAGGGGAGACCGGCTAGTTCTTCGCTGTCATATATCATCGTAGCATAACTCAATGATTCGCGCGACCTCTATCGATCGATAAGCTCTGCGCTCGCCCCTGTATCGAGCCCTCCCGTAGTATCTAGGCCTTCCCTAGACCGCCTAAGGCTATAGGATATAGATCTCGGCAAGAACCGGAACCGGACCATTGTTACAAGCCAAAAGGTCAGTTCGGAAACTACTCGTGCATTCAACGAGGTATTATAAAGGCGTGTACATTGGACCAGAGTCCGTTCAACTAGGTAAGAAGGAGCAGATATAGAGGAGCGAGAAACAACAGGGTCAGATTCAGAACAAGGCCTCTGCATAGGCTGGGCCTCTGCACAGGCCGGTCTCGGTCCCAAGGTTGAGGACCGGGACCGGACCTTACTGTCTTTCGGTCCTAAAGGAAGAGAATCAGTCAGGAAGAGAATCGGTCTGGCCTCTATGAGGAAACGTTACGGGGCACCCTCACAAAGGACCTAGAATGGTCGACGGGGAGGTACAGGTCTTCTCCGATTCATAGTTGCGGTGAGCAGTAATATTTCAGAAGTGCAGGGCTCCACAGGGAGACTACATCATACGTGCAACAGCTCATGTTCCATGCCGGAGGTGCAGCTCGTGTCTGTAAGCCTTCGAGACGGGCTCGGAAGGTACAGGAGTTGAACAGGGTCTCCATGGGCCCCCATCAAAGGATTCCCTTAGAGATAAGCTCACGCCAGGAAGCTTCCTTATCTTTTCCTTCACAATTAGCATATATACCGCGAGTAATAAGACCTGTTCAGGAATACTACCGGAGAAGAGGCCTTCGCTCTGTAAGCTATAGAAGAAATCCCGCTAGACGAAGACGGTAGACCTCGAGAGTTAGACCCACTAAGACCTAATTCGCGTGTTCGCAGAACTTTTACTATAAATAAAGCAGTCCTAAGGCCTAATGTAAGGATCCAACGCTTTCTGAAGGATTAGCTAACTATCAGCTATTATCGTCGTCTCGGATCTAAGATTAGCGCGGAGTTTATACGGCAAGTAGAGATGTGTAGAAAGATAGTCTAGGAACTAGCGGTTTATATTTACGCCTGTACGCGCGCTTACACCGACGTAGACCTAGAGGATCTACCGGGAGTACCTATCAATAGCAGCGTAGATTTCGATCCCGAAGGCCTCTAGCTTTATATATCTATTAATATACTAGATATAATTCGGACTATAGTAGATAGAAGCCCAGCGGGACTATTAGGTATCTTTCGTACGACGCTTAATCGTATTAGGCCGGAGATCTCGGTATATCGTAGACTAGCTCTCTAGAGTACTAAGAGGGTTAGTATAAAGTTATTTAAGTCGTATATATACTTACCGAGGGTAAAAGAGACCTATTAACCGAAGATAAGTATATAGGGCTTCCTGCCGTACCTCTTAATATCTCTAACACCGAATTTAGTCGGTAAAATTATCGTAGCAAGCTTATCCCTTTATAGCTACTGCTACGCTAGGTCGTCGACACGAAGCTGAATACCGTACTCCTTCCGAATTGAATATAGTGTACGGTTAGAGATAGGTGTGCCTTCTTTCTGTAGAATTTGTAGTGTTCGTTGAGAGCTTGCACTTCGGCGGAGGAGCTCCTAAATACGGGCCCGAATAGCTTTATGAATCACAGTTCGCTACCGAATTCCTCACTGCTATAGGCGTCGTTCGATCGTTCTAGGCCGAGCTATAATATTATACTGGCTCTGGAGGTGGTCCCTGTTTGTTTGGTAGGTTTGCCAGGTTTGTACGTAGCCTAGTTAGACCTCATCTTCTAGTCTCCAACTTAGCTTTCCACACATCTCGTCACTTTCTCCTTCACTACGTACCTCTACGTTCAATAGTCCCCAATAGCTTTGAGGGGAGTATTATGAAGAAAAAGAGTGGAGATCTCATCTTTGTAAGGAGCAAGATCGATTAGCGGTCGCGGAATTTTCTCTCCAGTCTTTCTCTTCACAGTACATGGAACAATATGATTCAATCCTATGCCTTTGATGGTAGGACTATCTCATGGGTAAAATTAAAGCAATTGAGAAAGTGTGTAATGAGAAAAATATCCCATGAGACGGTGAGCGCCAGGCTATTCAGCTAAGTGCGGTGTGGTTTATACAGTATGGGAGATACTAGTAAAATACACAAACTCTGTCATAGAATGTAATAGTGGTGGCAAAGGCGGTCATTTCAATAACCAATTATAAGTATTGGCGGGAGTGCGGCTATATGGCGCCGTAAAAACCGTAATTTGAAAAATCGTATCCTAACTAACTGCACATGACATCACGTGATAATGACGTAACCATGCCCATCTTCACTGCTGCACGTCAAACATCAGTTTATCTTAACAGCCCTTATGAGCGGTCACGGCTCCCAACTTGTTGCGGTTATTATATGCTTGCTTGTTCTTGCAATAACTGCAGTTGCTCTACGGTGCTATGTGCGGATCAGATTAACCGGGGGTTTTGGAGTGGATGACACCCTATCAGTGGCCTCGTTGGTATGTCTACAGCCGAAAGTCACATGTTGCTCAGCCCATAATCTAATAACCCGGAGGAAGATAATGTTTGGACTAGGTTCTGCCTGCATTCTTGTTGGGGTTCGAGAGGGTAGTTTCGGGCACATGTGGATGAGTATCTCTCCACCAACGCTTGTTATGGGCTTGAAGGCAAGTACCTCCTAAATTACCTGAACAACCTTGAACCTTTCTTAGTTATTTCCTCAGCTACTCTTTATATATGAGATGGCCTACATAATAGCGACATGTTTGGTCAAGTTATCCATCACCCTATTTCTCCTTCGCTTCACCATCGAACGCAAACATACCTGGCCTCTCTATGTCGTCCTCGCTATACTCGTCACCTACAGTGTCTTTTTGCTCTTCTTCGCTCTGTTCCAGTGTGAACCCGTGTCCGGATTCTGGAACCTCCAAGGAAATTGCGACAGAACTGGGACAGTAAAGGCTACCTACGCTCACTCGGCCATTATTAGTGCATCTGATTGGACAGTCGTCATCGTGCCTATATTCATTGTCCGTCACCTTAATGTTGAATTTCATACAAAGGTTTATGTTGGGATTATTTTGACGATCGGTTCCTGGTATGTTGCTGCAATAATATACCCTTAGGGAGCAGATTTTCGTAAACTAACTCTCGGACAAAAGTGCCAGCATTGCCACCCTGGCAAGATTCGCTTATGTTCATTATCTCATAGACCCTAAAAATCTCTTTTACTATATGGGTCTCCTTATTACATCGCACTGTGAGGTTGGGGTAGCTCTTATTGCTTCATCAGCGGCGACTCTTCGACCACTGCTCATCCGTTTGAAAATGGTATTTAGTAGACATGGTCAGAGCCAAGAATCGGACCAACGTTGTCTCAACGGGAGTGAAACTGGTGGGAGATATCCCCGCCACGAACATACTGATGAAATAAATGTCGAGCTCGGCGAATCAAGCTAATCTAGTGGAAAATGACCTTCTGTACGTATTTGAGATGAACTTAATTATATACTGTACATGATACACCAAGTATAAAATCTACTAGTCAGCGTAGAAGCCTGTTGACCAGGTAAGGGTTCAACGCTAGCGAACAATTGCTTATATATTGGAGATCCTCAGAATACCATGATACGCGCATTGCAGCCAGCATCTACCATATGTGACGTAATAATTCCCCGCTGATGATCATGTCATGAATAAGCGAACTGTGTCTCCGCGCTTGTTGGATTGAGCACTGGCTGTGCTGGCTGCCATATTGGTATCAGTAGCAGTACCATTTTGGTTACCTCTTTGTATTATACGATACAGTACACAGTGTTACAGCAACCGTAACGCGAAGTATACCAAAATACAATACAAAACATAAGGAAAAGTGGGCCACTCAGTGTAAGTTACCGCTCCAGGTCTCAACAATACCAAATTACTATACAAACGTAGGGAAATGAGGGTCAATCTGTACAGTGAGTACGCATAAGTTTTTGGACCCCCTTGGACCCACTTTGCTGACCGCCCATACTAATTCCGACCGCCTACTAGATACGCGTAGTAAGATCTTATGCAAATGAAGAACAACAATAAGACCAAGCAAATTTTGGTAGAAACTGCACAGATTGCTTGGCAGAATATTGATATGAAGCAACTACAACACCTTTCTGAGGCTATGCCCAATAGGGTGCAAGCATTTATTGAATCAAAAGGGTGGTATACGCCTTACTAGGCCTATAGGGTGCATGGAATTTGGCGGAGGTTTTGCTTCCGGCAGTATATTATGTAATATAGGGGGTGTGGGGCGGGGGGTCTAAAAACTTATGCGTACTCACTGTTAATCATCCTGTCCTAGCGGTAAGTTACCGCTCCATTTCTTCGACAATGTAGGCAGAAAGGCACGGATACGGTTCAGCCGTAGCAAGCTAACGGCCGTAGGGAGTACGATGCTTAAAACAAGAATTTTGTGGCGTTTATAGATGTAACTTAACCAAGATGAGTGTTTAGGTTAGGCTGGCATAAACCGCGAATCACACATGTGACCACTTGCCTAAAGGGGGAATGTCAAACTATACCACGAGTTTCCTAATTAAGGATAAGATTACGAGTAGTAAGATCAAAGGTGAAAATTGGAGTGTAGGAATTATCTAAGCTGCCTATTTTTATATAGATTACTGAATTACTACGTTAAAGAGCTTCTGATGCGTTAGCACTAACAAGTGTGGATAATAAAGCTATGGGCATATAAGCTTCCGCAAAGGACATCATCTGGCCTATTTAGCATAGGGAAAAAACATAAAAGGTATCATCACCTCTACGGCTTTGATATATTTTTAGTTCATCGGACTCACTATGGCATTGATCCCGAATGTCCCTGGATGCGAGGTAGTAGCGCCCGCTAGGCCGAAACAATTGTAAGTCCCTGTCCATCCTACGGATGAAGTATCTAATTCCCGCGAAACACACCCCGGATGAGGTAGGCGATTCGATCCAGCAGGACCCTTATCGCACGCCAGTGTCTGATAGGCCGCTTATGGGTGTCTCGATTTAGTTCCACGTGAGCCGTCGTGAGTGAGATGGGATTTGCTGCTAGGGGTAAGTTGGAGGAATATCTCGTGAACTGCGGGGTCGAAGACATCTCCTCGGTGAAGATAAATAGAACGAGATACTCCCGACAGGATATGATCCTCTTCATATCTATTCCAGCCCAGAGTGACTGACTGGTCTTTCTACGAGGTTGAATCTTCTCTTATAGATCTCATCCAAGCTTCACGATGCTTCCTACCGTTGCCCTAACGGCCCTGGCCCTCCTGCCCGCTGTGCATGGAGCCCCTTCATCCTCGGCTTCCTTGCATGGCGTCTATAAACGCTGCGGCGCCATTTCCCAGTACTACGGCCAGCATCAGGCGGACTGGGATACCTACGATACGCAGGGCTGGCTGGACAGCTGGTGGACCAACAATACCGCGCTGATGCACAACAACTCCGTCGGGTTCGCCGGCGCCTTCGGTCAGTGGGCCATGGGCAACCCGGACTGGTCATGCCAGGACGACGGCTCCAGCACGGACTGCGACCTGAACCTGTGTGACAACCGCGTGCTGAACAGCCGCGGTAAAGACATCCGCCCGGCATACTATGTGCTTGAGTCTGTCAACCGTCTGCACACCTACTTCGGTGGCGTCCGCGAGGCCTTCGATACCGCCGGTTTGGGCGCGGCCCTCTCTAAGGACCAGTGGGCGACCACCTTCTACGAGGCACCGGACCAACGGAGTGTGAATATCCTCAAGGAGGTGCTCGCCGCCCTCGGCACTATTATTGGAATCGGCGCTTCCTTTGCAGGAGTCGGCCTTCCCTTGCTAGGCGTGTCTGAGGCTACCTCGGCTGTGGCCGGTGCATGGGCCGGAGCCGGCGCGGCGGCCTATGGCGGCGGCGTCACTGCGGCTAATATTATGATCGGACCCCAGTATGTTATATCGTCTCTGCTTTACACACTCATGCTAACTGCTTTCTCCTAAACAGCGCGGACGACACCTTCCAGAAATCCGCCGACCTGGGCGGCATCCTAGGCGAGATCGTCGTCGACTCCATCAAGTCGTTCACTTCCGCCAACAACCAGCTCGTGGGCGGCCAGGAATACAACAATGAGGACATCCGCAGCTACCTCTCACACGGTGCCTTCCTCGAGTTCCAGGGCGTCGACAAGAACGCCGTCACCGATTCCATGACCGCCATGCTCGTCGGCACCTCCATTAACCAGCTGTACCGCGCCCAGAAGGTCTTCATCCTGGGGGGTGGTTCCTGCGACGACAACGAGGGTATTGGGTCCGGTCCCCAGGACGCTAAAATCTGCCGTGACGGCAAGGCCTGGTACCTGTACTACTGGCAGGAGGACGATGTCCTCTCGATAACCTCGCACCAGTGGGGATGGGTCATCTCGCCTCCTGGAGTGTCCCAGCTGGGACAGAATGAATTCAGCGATATCCCTCTTAACGTTTCGGATATCATCAACTCCTCCCTCGACGCCTTCAACGTCGCCGGTTACAACTACACCACTGCTACCGCCCAATCCCGCGCCGAGGACGCCATCACCAAAGGCTGGGCCATCCCGGGCGCTTATGGCGCCGCTTGGGAGGGTATCTTCACCGTCCCTGTTTGCGACGTCAGCGCTGCCATCAGCTCAAGCTTCGAACTCAAGCAGTTCATCCTGCAGCCCTACGGCCATGACAGCCGTCCCTGCTGGTGTGGACCGATCTGCAGTGGTGATTTGCAGAAGACTAAGGCCTTTATTGACGCTGCCAATATGGGTGGCTTCGACAGTCCTAAGCACTTGTGTAACTCGGACCCTGGGTACTAAGCCTGACACTCATGGGTGTCTTGGTTACCAGTTTGGTCTGGTAAGTGTATTGGGGATGTTGGATGGTGCCATTCTCTTCTGATGCATTCTTTTCTGGTTACTTCTCTTAGTCATTCTTTTTCTGATGATATAAATCAATATAGAAATTGGCAATTTTGACTTCAAAGACAGTGCAATACTAAATTTAGGAGTCCACGAAGGCATCCCAACGTAAGCATTATTCTAAGTAGTCCAGCTTACTTATCGAACGTAGCAGCACAAGTATACACACTATCGTCTTCTCATCAACTCTTGAATTCGACCAAAATGTAGATCATCACATTTTAACGTATCAAGCCACGCCCAGGCTCGCTACCATCCATCTTCGGGAAGTTAGGTGTCCCCAGCCCTGTAACGGGATCCCACCCACTCTTTGCCGGAAACCCACTGGTTGCGCATCCCGGGTTTGAGCCAGAAGTGATATCATTGAAGATATGCGGGTTCGCGTAGATTCAAGGGTTCAAAAAGCCAAAAACGACATCGATGTCAGAATGGAATAAATTGGCCCATGTGGGTGTGGTTCATGGCAAGAACCATCGTAGGACAGCCACGAGCTGAAAGAGGGGCTCAACCCCGGCCTGATCATCATGTGGCCCCAGGGCGCTACTGTAAGCCAGGAAATTATCCGTGCATTCCAGCCCACGCACGACTTCCCAAGTGGTAGTCCGGCGATCATGTGGGTAGGGCTAGCACCGTTCCTGGGAACCGATCAACCCGATCCAGACTTGTCAGATCCAGTAAGGCCCACGATAACCAGCCAACATGTCCTCATTAAACGCTTTAACCTTATTACCTAGAGGCCAATGCTTCCTAACGATTTCCAGCGTATATTCCGATAATCACTAGATTATAGTTTGTAATTGCTATAATCGAGAACGGAGAGTATAATGTGCTTATACTTTCTAACCTTATTTTTTTGCGGCCTATAGCTTTGTGAGCGACCACGAAGCTCCTAGGAACTCGCAGATCGCTAAGTCACGTGCATTTCCTAATATCCAGCATACCCCAGACCTTTGCCTCGAAATCGTTTCACCTGCTCACTAAGCAGAGGGGGACTAAGGAGGATAGATCCAATTCCCCCGATCTGCGGTCTTCTTTGCTTCCTCGCCAAAACCTCTCTCCATCGCCTTTCAGAACCCCCTGTCGTCTCTCCACAACATAGCTCCAAGACTCACTAACTCGAGGCTTAAAATAATTCGGGACATGATATCTAGCAAATCACTACAGTAACTACCTCGTAAATAAACGTTTTAGAAGCCCTTAGGACTATACAGGCTTAATACGGAATCTATTTTAGGTTATAATTTAAAACCGTATCGGAATACTGCCAAGAAGCGGGGTCAGGAGTAGGTTAACTCTAAATGGGATAGTGGGTTTCAAGAGAGGGTTCGAGAAAGAACCTCTATGTGCAATTGGTGAATCTGATTTCGAACCATCCTGTACGGTATCCGTGCCCTTTGGTAACACCCACCGCTTCCGCTTTTGGGTGCACCACGGTTTACCGGAAGTCACCAAACACCGTCTCTTTTTCAACACCTACCTACAATCAGCTATTTCAACCACCCAACATGACTAAATCTGCTAATTTTGACGAATCTCGCATGGCCGAAGCCTGCAGATTGGCTTCGGGCCAAAAGAGACCGAATATCACGAAGATTGCGCGTGAATTCAACGTGTCTCGCACTACACTGGCCGATCGCGTCAAAAAGGCCAAAACGCCTGCTACACCCACTACACCACTGAAAAATGCCCTTTCGCTATACCAGGAGAAGGCCTTGACCAATTGGATAGTCCAAATGTATAAGTGGAATCTACCACCTACTGCCGGGGTTATCCAGGCGTGGGCAAATCGCGCGCTTGAGCGAGCGGGCCGGGATAGGCAGGTTAGCAAGATGTGGGCGTACCGCTTTGAAGCGCGTCTCCCAAAGCACCTGAATCTAGCCCCAGTGAAGCAGAAGACCAAGGAGAAGAATCGAATCCAAGCTGAAGATGCAGGGCTTCTTGCGCACTGGTACGACCAGCTTGCAGCTCTTCTCTATGGTGTCCCCGCACGGCTAGTATACAACTTCGATGAATGCGGCTTCCAACCCGGTCAAGGGCAATCTCGAAAGGTTATTGGCTCTAAATCATCTTGCCCTGACCTAGCCGAAGGAGAGAGGGGCGAGACTATTACTGCAGTTGAATGTATTAGTGCAGATGGCTGGCTGATGGACCCGCTCTTTATCTTCAAAGGTAGTGGGAAGAATCTTATGGAGGCCTGGTTCTACGGTAGTGAAGATCTCCCACGCGAAACTGGCACTGCAATCTCACCAAACGGCTGGATTTCTGATGAATTAGCCCTATCCTGGCTAGGCTATTTCATTACTGCTACTACCGATCGGGTGAAAAGGGGCGAAAAGCGCTATCTTATATTCGATGGCCATAGCGCGCATCTTACCCTCGAATTCCTACAGAAATGCGAGGATAATGCGATTATCCCATTCGGCTTCCTACCTCATTCAACGCATCTCTGTCAACCACTTGATGGCAAGCCTTTCTTGAATTATAAGCAGCAATTTCGGCTTATGAATAATGAGCTATCCTTCTGGGGTGGCCAGCCGTACGGGAAGGCAGATTTCCTATCTATAATTAGCCCGATTCGATCGAAAACCTTTAGCCAACGAATTATTCGCGATTCTTTTAAAGAGCGTGGAATCTGGCCGGTTGATGGTAGTAAGATTGTTGAAAATCTTACGAATCAACTAGTAATTTCTGATATCTATGCACCTAATCTTCGGTCGCGTACGGCTACACCTACTTCTACACCATCTCCGCCACTAAATCTCTCGTCTTCTAGTATTGAAAATAGCCCTCCAAAATCTATTGAAGCACTAGAGAAGAACCAGGCGAAGATTTACAAATACCTCAATTCTCTTTCAGAGAAGATGCAGCGAGATCTTACCAAAATCTTCGCCCACCAGCGAGAGAAGCTTGAAGAGCTTGCCATGACCCAAGATACAATTCGGCGAATCAGATCTGTACAAGAGCCAGTACGTCGCCAATATACTAAGCGGCAGGTTAAACCGCTTAGTCAAGATGGTATATTGAAGCCTCGCGATGCAAATCGATCAATTCGTGACAGGAAGGCGAAAGAGATGGCTAAGGAGGAGAGGAAGCTGGCTAAGCAGTTCGAAAAGGCGTATGGTTTTAAACCTACAAAAAGGCCTGCTGAGGCTATTCAACGGGCAATTGAGAATGAGGAGAAGGCGAGAGAGCAGGGAGATTTTTTTTTTATTGATAACTAGCTAATTGGTTGATTAATTCGATGATTTCTTGAAAAAGAGACGGTGTTTGGTGACTTCCGGTAAACCGTGGTGCACCCAAAAGCGGAAGCGGTGGGTGTTACCAAAGGGCACGGATACAAGAATTTTTTAGCGTTCATAGATGTAACTTAACGAAGATAAGGTTTAGGTTAGGCTAGTATAAACCGCGAATTATACTTTTAACCACTTACCTAGGAGGGTAAAGTTAAACTATACCACGAGTTTCCTAATTACGGACAAGATTACGAGTAGTAAGATCAAATGTGAAGATTAGAGTGTAGGAATTATCGAAGCTGCCTATTTTTATATAGATTACTGAATTACTACGTTAAAGAGCGTCTGATACGTCAGGACGCCACCTAGAAGATTCGCGAGAAGTACCTCGAAGCGCTAGAACATTGCCTACTTTGACAAGCTGGGTGCCGGTGAAGTGACTACCCGTATTACTTGCCTAGGAGGGTAAAGTCAAACTATACCACGAGTTTCCTAATTAAGGATAAGATTATGAGTAGTAAGATCAAAGGTGAAAATTGGAGTGTAGGAATCATCTGAGCTGCCTATTTTCATATAGATTACTAAATTACTACGTTAAAGAGCTTCTGATACGTCAGTACTAACAGGTGTGGATAACAAGGTCATTAGCACATGAGCTTCCGCAAAGGAGACATCATCTGGCCTGCTTAGCATAGGGGAAAAACAGCATAAAAGGTATCATCATCTCTACGGCTTTAATATATTTTTTGTTCATCGGACTCACTATCGCATTGATCCCCCCTAACTCATTTCTCTTCATACAAACTTCATTGTTTGGGAAAGACTTTCTATTTATTCTTGTTTGTCATCATGATACTTCAGTATACCCTGATCTTGTCCTTAGTGACAGCGAGCCTTTCTATTCCCTTAGTTTTAAGATCGGACGGTAATGGGCCCCCGACAAATGCCACCTTTATGCCCTGTACTGAGGGAACTACGGACCCGCTCTGTCAACTCGTACGCCAACCCAGCCCAGATATCATCACGCAGATTACGCACCCTAATGGGACCATCGAGATCAAACGGAATATGTATACCCGTGAGCAACTGCAGACCATCCGAGAGCGGAACAACGTGACCACCGTCGAATATAAGCCTGGTGACGTGGTCCGCAACCGATCCGCCGAATTCATTAGCAGCCTGACCAAGCGGGAGTCGGCGCCGCCGGTTTGCCATAGCGAGTTGCAGCAGTGGTACGACACCAGCAACTGGGGGTACTGGTACCAGACCTGGAATCAGGTCGGCAACTGCTTCTACTGTAACGTCTGCACGGAGGGCATTGCCATCAGTTTCGGGGTTACCGAGACATGGACTGTTGGACTGGCTGCAACCTTTTATAAGGTCCTCCAGTTTACCTTTCAGTTCTCATATGGGGAGGCGTTAACCTTGACTGATACCCGCACCTGCTCGTGGACCAATGTAGAAGATGGGTGCCATTCAATCTGGTATCAGCCTATGATGTCCTACCACAACGGCAATGCGAACTACCAGACCCATACCCACTGCACTGGTGGCGTGGGCGGAACCACTGATTCATATTTCGACCACAATTGGGCCTTTGCCAATGTTAACGCAGGCGTCGGTGGCGACGGCTCCGTCAATACCGGCAATATGGGATGCAACAGTGGGTGCCAGGGGTCTGACCACAGGCAATGCTTACATGGAAATTCTGGTCATTTTATCTGGCCCGGTGTGAACAACTAGGCAGCATATTTGAATCCATTATGTTGGAAAGCGTCTTGTTAAGGATTAGGTGTCAAGCTGAGAGGTGGTATTTTACAACTAAGGCCTGTGTCGGAATCTAGGATGATGTGGAACCATGGATTATCCACTAATCAGTTTGGAAGTGCTTGTTTATGTAATTAACCCTTGTTTATGTAATTAACCCCTTCTAGGTTGGTATTTCAGGGGATAGTTAGCAGAAACGTATTTAAAATTCCATTGTTTATGATGCTATATCCACTATTCCGCGTTTTAACAGTTATTAGCCCGGTTCGCCACTGAGTTTGCCCAAATCGTCGGTTTTAAAGCTATACGCATAAATCAAGAACAGATATAGCAGTAGCTCGTTTTAGGAATATAGTGTCCGAACGAAAAAAAAAATACAGAGGCAGGGAACTATCTAGAAGTGGTGGCGGCTCTTGCACTTACCTATGAGGGGAAATGGAAAAGTGCTTGCTTCTTCAGGCAGATCATAGATCCAGTTTTCATGTGCTTACATAAGCGCTCTACGTCATTTATGAGTTTAACAGGGGGCACCCAGCTCACGCGTACCCAAAAAAAGTTCACACGGACCCAAAAAATTCTGACTAATTTTGGGTACCCATGAGGTACCCGACCTCGCACGTACCCAAACCTCTAGATTATATAATATTTTTTAATGCAGAAAATTTTTTAAACACCTTATTTTACCCCTTTTCAAGATTGTTACCAAGTATCGAATTCCACAAGATGTCGGCGTCTTTACTCTCGCCATCGCTATTCGAGGATTCCGATTCTGACATATTTATCTCTACGCAATCTACTACTAGTACTGCATTAGAGATTAATCAAATTCTTTATAATCTTCCATCTGTGAGTGATCGTTTTATAAATAAGAGCATACATAAATCTTATATTTTATATCAGCGACAACGATCGGCCTCTGAAACTTCAGTGTACCAAGATTGCACTAATACATATGAGTTATCTGATGTCGATTCTTGTGAGGATAATGAGGAAAATACTAGCTCTCTATGTTCTACACCTTTTACGGAACGAAACCAAACAGGTATAGAAACAGACGGGACCCAAGTAAGCATTAGCTCTAGAGATGCTGTGATCGCCTACGAAGTTCAGGAGCACCTTATCCTCCCAGAGTATCCTGATACAGACAAGAATGGTATTTTACATATCATTCATGCCTCCAAAAATCCACTTGAAAATGTGGAAGACACCGTTACTGCTGTCAACCAAGCTACTTCACAGCTTATGTCGTCGGTATGTTCGATATAATCCTAGCATATGTCTAGCATATGCTTAGCATATATGATAACTAATTATCCTAGGTTCAATTCTCGATTAAACAACTCAAATCGGCCAAGAAAATCTTCACGAAACTCCTCCAGAAAGACTCTAAAGACAAAGAATCAAGATCATGGCATCGATCCTTTCAATGTACAGGGATTCAACATTGCCACCAAGCTCATCCTGATCTTATTACCCCGTCTGAAAGCTATAACCGTGTTAAACCAACACTTTTCCGCGAACTTCAGGCTCTTGCTGCAAAGCCTGTGTATCACACTATTGCGCAGGAAATCCAGGAGCGAACTAGAGAGTAAGATATATCCCTCCCTAGCTTTAACCTCTATTAAGCTTACGCTTAAGATAGATTTTACTTCGGATTTCTCAAGACGTGGGATATAGAAGGGCCATGTATTTATGCACCTAGTGAGCGGACATGCAGAGGTCAAAAGCCAACAGTGTGGCTTCGAGATGGAGTAAGTGCATATTATTATCATGTACTAAATATTTGTTAACTATAAGTAGTTCACCTTTATTGGGTGTCCGAACGCGCAGGTCGGATCCCAGCGTTGGCACTACTGTCAGCACGTTCCACGAAGTGCTGCAAGGATAGACACCGCGTTTCTAAAGCTTCTTTGCGATAAGGATGGCTTACGAGATACTGGATATGGAACCAAGAACTGTTACTTCGTGGAGCATCGTTCAGCTAGACGTCGCCACTGTGGTATGTTTTACACTAGATATGCTCTGGATATGCTGAACATATGCTAACCCTGTCCTAGACTCAATTCATGCAGATGGTGTTGGTCAGCTGATATATAGTGTTTGCTCTGTGAAGATTGACCTTTATATCCCCTGCGTATGGGATCGTTTTCCTTTTTTCCTTCTCGTTTGTCGAGGATCTCATTCACATGCGCCGCCACCGCCTACAAAGCTACCACATGATATTGGTCAAGAAATCATTGACGCAATCAACACGCAGGATATCCTAGGATTAACTGCACGTAAATTGATGGTCTCACCTACTTTTGCGAAGATTATACGTCAACATGGTGATTCTGCGCTTCGATATATCCACAAGAGCTTACACATTGAGGATAGAGTAACTGCTTTGATTCATAAGCAGAGACTACTATATTATCCAGAAGGGACGAATCTTGCTGGGGTATGGCGTGAATACCAGTTTGATCTAACTAAACACGTGGATGATCAATGGATTCGTGAAGTCTATTTCTTTGACGAGAATCGGGAGCATTATCTGATCATATGCTGCACATACGAACAAGCTAAGCTTTTTCAGAGTGTACGACATCTGGAAATGGATCTTGCTTTCAAGATGGTTCAGGGAGCAACCAAGCTTTTCACAATTTCAGGGTGGAATGAACAGGTAAAGAGTAAGATTTTCTGGTGTTCTATATATGCTAAACATATGCTAACCATATGCTGACTCTCAGGGTTAAATACCTATGTCTATGCTTTCATGAATCTCGAAACTCGAGTAGCTTATCGGGTTCTTTTTGAGAAAATCTTCAAGATTCTTGGGGATGTTGGACGAAAACCAATTAGATGGGCGTATCAGCTTGGAAGGGATGATTCTTGTGAGGGAATTCGGACGGTTACTGTTGACATGTGTAAGAAGCAAGCACCTGGTACGCTTCCCATATGCTTAACATATGCCTGAATTATACTCACTTTCTATTTTCATTTAGGGCTTGGAGATTATCTTGCTGGCCTAGATCCTCGTTGGACATGGTCAGAACATCTGCAAAATATATTGATCCTATGCCAAACGCACGTTAAGCGAGCCTTTCGGAAAAGGTTTCCTGGTCACGAAGCTACTACGTCTATTGATATGATCTGGAATGCAAATTCAAAGGCAGAGGTTATTCGAATTATGGATGAAGTTGCAGAAAAGTGGCCAGAGACCGAAAAATGGTTTCAGAATAAGAAGGTTGATTGGATTCTTGCTGGAATAACCCCAGAGGCATCTAAGATTCCTATTGAATGGTGGACGAATGCATCACATCATACTGGAATTAGTGAAAGTAGTCACTTTCACGATAACGAGGCAGTAGGCCGAAAGCAAGCTTTGTTAACAGCAATTCTCCGGTATATTACCCGATTTATCATGTATAGAGCATATTACTAATCTCTTTATTACAGATGCAAAAAACATGTACAAGAGATGATCCAAAAGAATAAACTTGCAGAAGAGCTAGGTCTCTTCCCAACTTGGCGATCTCAAAACCCTGTGTATCGTATTGCCAAACAAGTTCGCAAGAAGGGTTTGTTCCATATGTTCAACATATGTTACACATATACTAACCTTATATCAGACAAGCGCTACAAAAAATCTGCCAACCGTCGTATCAATAAACCATACCAGCCCTGGAACGTGATCAATCCTTACGATGACCTTAACCCGACGATGCAACCACCTGGGCTTCCAGATATTTCGGACATAGTTTCGATATCTACTTCAGAGATAACTGACATAAGCTCAGTATATGGTCAATCTATATCTGCACCGCTATCTACCCCTCAGGGTAGTTCAGTTCTTGACGGATCGTCTAGAATAGCGCCGCATGATAGTATTTCTCAGCAGTTAGGCTATACTCAGGGATTCGATGATGAAGAGGCACGGCTACAGCAAGAAGTTGCGGAACTTGAGAGAAAGCAAAGGATCTTAGCCCTTCGAAGGAAGAAGGAGGAATTATTACGGAGTATAGAGTCAGGCGAATCTTTGGTATAAGTTAAGAATATCTTGAATTTACTTTGAGCATAAGTTTAACATATGTTCCGTATAGACAAATAACAGAAAATTCATACAAAGAGACCTACGCCTAACTAAAGGGACTCAAAAGCATCAGAGGATGAGTCCTCTACCTCTACCTCTACCTCTACCTCCTCCTCCTCCTCCTCCTCCTCCTCCTCCTCCTCCTCCTCCTCCTCCTCCTCCTCCTCTACCTCCTCCTCCTCTACCTCCTCCTCCTCTACCTCCTCCTCCTCTACCTCCTCCTCCTCTACCTCCTCCTCCTCCTCCGAGTCTTGCATATGGGGAGCAGGTGGGCCACCTCCTCCATCACTATTGTCTCCATTACCGGCAGTGGGGCCAAAACCCGCGAAGGGAATAGGATTCCCAGGGACGCCAGGTCCACGCTACATACTATTAGCATATGCTTAACATATCATTTCTTAAAAAAAGGGGACTTACCCGGCGGCTGCGATGACCAGAACTCGGGGTTGCTGGGGCCTGCCAGCGGTGGAAACGAGTGCCGTATTGTGCGGCAAACTGTGCATCGGTAGCTCTATACGGATTGTTAGCATACGCTAAACATATGAGAGTCATATGTAACAAGTATATCAATCTTGTGCAAAACGTAGAGTACCCAGAGTACTTACGCAATTCGCTCCAGAGCGGAGGCCCAGTGTCC